CCATGATGAGGAGTTATGGGTTAGTGGGAAAACACATGTTTTTTAGGTAACGGATGATAGAAAGGTCATGATGCCCATGACATTAGTCCACTAGCTGAAATAGTGTCTGAGAAAGTCAAAAATGCAGTTATCTCCTTTTTGTCGGAAGAGGCCTTTTGGAGGGCAATTTGTTAGCTGGAATTTTTGACAAGGGCAAAAATCTCAGCACAAATGGAAGGCTTGGAAAAAGTTGAGTTTATATAGATAATTGTCGACATGTGATATTGCAAAAGGTCAAAGTATCAAGAAGAGAAATGGATGGAACTTAGTATTTTTCGGAAAAAAAAAAGTATTTCCTCTACATTTCGACGATATGACAGTTTGGGTTTTCGACGACAATAAGATGTGTCGATCAACAATTATTTGGGCGCGAAGAAGCATTTTGTTCAAAATAAATAACTACTTTTTAGTCACATCCCAAAGAACACGGGGAAAACATTCAAAAGTGAGGTACATGCAAGAATCTATGAGGCGGAGGATGAAGAAGCGAATGTTAGAGAAAAGTTATCTTACACATGTATAAAAAGGGATTCTAGTGTTAGGATTTAGGGGTGTTCATTTGATTTTATAACAAAATCTCAAAAATATTCAAAGTACCAGAATTAGAGAGAAACGAGTTTCACTGAGAAAATGTATGAATCTTGAAACACCATTTTCATTCAAATGCAAAGTTTTTCATTTCAGTTTATGTTCTTTGCCAATTTACTTTCATCTCTCTTTTAACTACAATGTTACTTTACATTTGTTTTACAAACTTTTAGCCTTTTTAACATTGTCGAAATTACATTTCACATTCCTTTTCTCAATTGTTTCAACCAATTTGAAATCCTTCACATGTCAACAAAACTATAAACCAAAGCTTTTAGCACTATGTCATAGGATTCTCTAGTTGATCCTGTAAGTAACCTTCAATATGAGACTAGTGGTTATTTACTAAATTTCACAGTAAACAACATCATAGTTGGAGACTGAAATGGAACTTGAAGTTCTAATAGAAGAGACTCAAGTCAAAGCAAATTTGAAGTAGTATGCACCAACACATGATGTCTGGTCTCCTGCTCGATCTAGCCACCAAGTTTTGCATCTTTGAGCTCCATGAAACAAGGTTTGGCCCAAAAAAAAATACAATAGTCAGACGTGGATCGTGTATCACTGGGATCACTTGTCTAATAAGAGTCGTTGTAGGCATGAAGAGAAAGCTTGTAAGAAGGTGCTGCATGAGAAAATAGAAACTCGTGATCAAAAGTCCAACTGAGATAACGCAAGATATGCTTAACAACTTCCCAATGCGAGTCCATTGAATAAGCCATGTATTGAGATACTTTATTAACACTGAACGCAATATCATCACAAATATATTTTGACTGAAAAAAGAGAAGATTCCTAGAGGCCAACTGTTTAATCTCAATGCCAAAGAAATACTATGGTGATTCCAACTTCTTAAGTGCAAACTTGAGATATAGTGAGTCAATAAGCCTGTCAATTAGCAAGGAAGATGAACTTGTAAGTAAAATATCATTCACAAAAACCAAAGCATAAAGAGTAACACTCTAATGAGAGTGAGAAGCCAAAGTGAACCAATATTTAAGTCAGCTTCTCATACCATACCATGCATTATACAAAGTGAACCAATGCCTAAGTCACCTATCTCCCTAATACGTGCAACATACAAAAATAATTAATTCCATCATACATTAAAAACTAATGTGTAGAATTATTGAGTAGATACGAAAAGGACACATATTTAATGTAGTTCATTAAGTATATATTAAAGAAGGTCGTTGGTTCCTTTAATATACAAAGAGTTCGTTGGTGTAACATGTGAACGTGAACAAATTAGTATAGTAAGTAATCATATACTCCTCCAATATTATATTTATTCATGTCTTTTATTTTGTAATGGTCTCTTTCCAACTTATATTAAAGGCCACACTAACATAAAGTGTTATCAACACGACAACACTACTCTATATTTATGCATGTCTAAAACAACGAAAGAATTAATTATGATAATGTGTTTATTTATTCATGTATGGAACGGGAGAAGAAACCATGTCGGAATGCATGTGAGTTCTGCCGACAATTTCAATGTCCCAATTTATGATAGACGTGTCTTATATTTAAAGCTCATGGCCATGTCCCATAAGATTGTCTCTTTTCCACCATTACCATTTTCAGTTCAACTAACACACAAAAAGAAAAAGACAAATACCCCTTTACAAAATATAATTCAATGTCGAAATTGGGGACGAAGCTTACCCTTTTGAAATAGTTCGATTTAACCCTTTGAATTTAAAAAAAAAAATGCACACTTCATACATATTATGCTTTTTGAAACTTCCTCTATTTTATTTTTCATCATTAGTCTAACCAAATCGGAATTATGATATGAGACTTAACCAATATATTATTTAATAGTTTTGAAACAATTGTTACTAAAAAAATATTAGGGATTTCATCGGTTACCAAGGTTTATGTGTTACTGTCAAAGAAGTTAACGATGAGATTTGAAGATATTTTTCAAATAAATTTATAGAGCCTGACACTAGCAAACCATTGTTGGATGGTGTTGATTTCAATCAACTCTTAGGGGAAGATTAATACATGTTGAGGAGAATGAGGTTTGGAACTTTATGGATGAAATGGATAGAAGTTATGGTTTTTACTAGTCATATGTCGATATTGGTTAACGGAATCCTAACGAAAGATTTTGTGATCGATAGGGGATTACGGCAAGGAGATCCTATTTCTCCTCTCCTATTTGTTATAGTGGTTGAAGGATTATCCAGGTTGGTTAGAAAGGCATCTGACATTGGTGATTACAAAGGACTCTCAATTCACGGTATTTGTAGAGTTGATTTACTTCAATTTGTGGGTGACACACTGTTTCTTGGGGAAGGGAGCTGGAAGCAATTTCAAATTCTTTACTTTTTGGTGATATTTATAATTTCTTAAATGTAACTTGAATAAAATACTTCATAAATTTATATTATTTTAACAGTTTTTCAAATTTTTTATCCAAAGAATAATTTCTGGTTAATTCATTTTAGATTCCTTAAAAAAATTATTTTTTCTCATTAAAATACTTCATCTAAATACACTATAAACAATTTTTAAGAGTGTATTTAGATGAGGTAATTGAGAATTTTTAAGAAATTCAAAATTCTAAGCAATTCAAATTATACAATTGAAATTCATTCATTTTTAATTTCTTTTGTTTGAATAGAGTACTAAAAGTATTCATTGTTAAATTTTTGAAGTCATTTTAATCAATTTTAAACCTTTTGGACCAGATTTAAAATATGAAAAGAGAGATTAATTTGCAATTTTTAAAAATTTAAAGGAACTAATTTATAAAATTTGAAAATTCTTATGGACTTATTTGCAATTTTTAAAAAATTTTGGAGGAGATTTAAAATTTTCATAAAGCATGAGGATCATTTTGTAAAATTTAAAAAATTAATAATAAAAAATTTAACATTGCATTATATCGGGTAAATGAGAAATTATAAATTCTTTATCTTTTGATGTCATTTAAAATTTCTTAAATTTAACTTGAATAAAATACTTCATAAATTTACATCATTTTTTACCATTTTTTATGTAAATAATGAATTTTGGTCAAGTCATTTTTAATTCCTCTAAAAAAATATTTCTCTTCATTAAAATATTGCATCCAAACACACTCTAATGCATTAGAGAGTGATTGAAGACTTAGAAGTAAATTACACTCTAATGCATTAGAGAGTGATTGAAGACTTAGAATTAAATTATAGTATGGTTTTTGGATGACGATAATATTTTTTCTTATTCTCTACATGAATGACTAGTACACGAAGTTGGTGGTATTTATAAGATATAACTATTGTTATGATTTAATATTATTTAATTCTTGTTGGATGGATTCTTAAATAAGTATTTTATCTTCTGAATATTTGTTTAGTGGAGGGTCAAATCTAAGAAATGTGTCATCAACTCGAGAGTCATTTTTAAAAATATTTTCTTTAAAATTATTATCACACAATTGATTTTTCTAAGTGGGATAATGTTAGAAATATTTCTTTAGGCTACCAACAATTGAATTTTTTGATTTTATAGTACATGTTGATTTTGTAAATGTGATTTATTCAAAAATGTTTAAGTCTGATAATATAATAATAATATCTCTTGTGTTGACACTCAAATTTGTTTGGTCGAGGTTTGTCCAACTGAAAACTTCTAAATATTGAATCACATGATCAAAGAAAGGAGGACTTAGTCAAATACTTAAATCATTATGAAGAATTAATCATTACAACTTGGGTTAAATAAGTTTTTGGTTCTCATAAATATAGCACTTTTCAATTTTAGTTCCTCTTAAAATTTCCTTCAACAAATCGTCCCTCCAAAATTTTATGTCAAAACAATAAGTCCCTAACGTCAAATTCCACTAATGGATGCTTACGTGGCAAGACATGCGGATTAAAAAAATTAACTGAGATAGTTTTCATTTATTCAGGTGGCAAGACAGGTGGATGATTATGTGTAATCTATGTTAATAGAAACCCTAATACTCAAAGAAAATCCCTAACTCTCTACTTCATTCTTAGTCGTTTTCTCCACTCACCCATTCTGTACTTGTGGTCCCTAAAAAAAACTCCATTAAAGACGAACTAAAGAACGTGGTCCCAACGACTTTGACGCTTTCTGAATTTCATTACTTGTGGTCCCAACATTGACGAAGCTTGCTTTGTTGCGGTCCCAACATCAAGGTTAGTCCCACTTGTGCTATCGTGTGTTATGCTTGGTTGTATTATGATTTGTTTATGTTCTCGAATATTGTACGTATGTTCTATGCCAAACTTGTTTTGAAATTACTGCATGTTTGTTTTATTGTGTTGACTGTAAACATCTAGGGTTTTGTCTTTGACTATGATTATAATGTCTAAATTACCCTCTTTCATATTTTTAATGTACAGGATATGAGGTTATTTAAGGTGGTATTTTACACCAAGGATTCATTTGTAAAGGACGAAAGGTTAAGATATGATGGTGGGGATGTTTATGCTTTAAGCGAGCAAGACTCAGATTTTTGGTCCTTCTTTGAAGCTTGTGACTTGATTAAGGGGATGGACTCATCCTTTAACATTGATGATGTGAAATTATGGTGGAAGCATGAAGAGGATTGTCTTGAAAATAATCTAAAACCATTTTTTAATGATGAGGATGAAACAATGTTAGCTATGTTTGTTGAGAAGAATAACTATGATGTAGAGATATATACAGAGCCAAAATTATCAAGGGGTGAGGAAACTTATATGAAAATTTTAGTAGAGAAATAAAAAGGACATGAAAGTGTTGAGGAAAATGAAATTGCAGAGGATAGTGAATCAATTGAAAACTCTTTGGATGTTATACACTTTGAATACAATGAATAAGAGAGAATGCATGATTTCGATGAAGATATTGGGGTGGATAATGGTGAGTCTAGAAGAGAGCTTGTTGATGTTGATGGTGCGGGTATAAGTCAAGTAAAAAAAATGATTACTACAGATGAGGGTGATAGGGAGCATGTCATATAAGATGATTACATGACTGATGAGTTTGATAGTGGGGATGAAGATAGTGGTGATGACAGAGAGATTAACATTTCAAGTAACACATGTCATGTTCACATATAGTTTTATTGTAGACTTGGAAAAACATACTTCTTCGTGTAACTTTTGGGATTTGGTTGGGATCCCATGTAGACAGGTTGTTGTTGATGTCATACATGGGAAAGTTGATGATCATATTAAGTATGTACACAAGTGTTATCATAGGACCACTTATATCGCATCACTACTACAAAAATAAGTCTTTTATAACATCAATATTACGACAGAAATAGTGTTAACCGTGGTAATATATTTATCCTGGGTGCATATTTTATTTACTTATTTACTAGATGACATGTCACAACAGTCAGAAGTAGCAACCATAGTGAAAAGTACACGGAGTGAAATGGTTCGAATCCCATCACCAACAATTAGCCATTTCTCGTGATAAAAAATGTTATTAACCATGTATATCACCAAGGTTTTTATTTCCAATTGTGATGAAACGTGATATTTATTTATATATAAGCAAAATTATTTAACGCTTCAGTACATAACAATCGCCTCTCTCAAAACAAAACCCTAACAACTCTTTCACTCGTCTCTCAAAGAGAAACCCTAACAAATCTGTCACTCGTCTCTCTCATATGGATACCACAAAACAAAACCATAACAACAAGTCTTAGCCAATGGGTAGTTACAGGTTCTTTTTCTTTGTAGTTTTTTTTTCAAAATCTATTTCAATATCTTGTTTCATGATATTTGAACTTCTTTTTTCCTCTTAAAGGTATGGATGCTTATTTCAATAAAGAGGACGAAGATAAATTTAGTCTGTCAAACTGGTGTCAAAGATCCTGAATGACATCCATTCAAAATATACACATGTTTGCTGGTATAAATTTATCTTCATCCTTATTTCATTGTTGACACATCATTATAGGACTTGACATGTATGGTATGTTTCTGAAGCATTTTATACCTTGATATGTTTGTTGTATCGTGTTTGTTGGTTATTCTTTGTTGTTGATGAATGATTTTGATGAATGTTATTGTTAATGTCTATTTAAAATATGAGTTTATTATATATTATGTGGTTTGAGTGTTTTTCCAACCCCTTACCAAATATATAACTTCCTAAACTGCATTAGAAAATTATGATATGATAGATAAAATTGTATTAGAAAATAAGTACACGTTCAATTCTTGACAAGAATTTTTCACACTGTTGATTGCATTTTGTTCCTTGACCGTTAGAACTTGATTTAGTGATCATAGATCTTCAACCACCCCTCTCTCCATCTCTAATTTTGTTTGCAAAGTAAATAATATTTAGCAAAAGTAATTAGAGTTGAAGGCAGGGGTTGTTGAAGAACTAGGATCATTAAACCAAGTACTTATTGTCAAAGAAAAATATATGGATAAGGAGTTAAAGAACTCTTGTCAAGCATTGAACATGTACTTATACTTCTAATATAACTTAATTTGTTATATTATAATGTTCTAGTGTAGATTGGAAGGTTATATGTTTAGTGAGCATGGGCAAAATAAGTCTTTCACATAATTTATAATAAACTCAGGGCTATATACAATAATGGTTGTCTAGAACACCGTTGTTAAATATTTTGCATTTTAATATACCACAATGGTTGTTTAAAGTAATCGTTGTGGTAGGTAGAGCGCTGTTTGGATACAATCATGGTCGCCCGCCCGTGCTTGAAATTATCATACATACAATCAGACTTTACGTCACAACAGTTAGACCTGTATGATGGTATCCCTTTTCCAACCATTCTCATATGAGTTTTTCGTAGTAGTGCATGTTACAATGAACTTATCACTCGCATAAATGGACAAAAAATGGCCATGGCTGCTGATCCTAAAATCTTGCCACTGAGTTTCAAGAGATGTCCATGGAGACTAAAGAAACTCCAGAGAGCCAGATGAGGCATCCCAAACTAGATGGCAAAGTACAAACACAAGCCGTAGGTCAAAGACATGCTTAGAATATGGGCAAAATACAAGAACATGTAAGAAAAATAAACAACTTGCAATTGTTCTTGGTGAATTACCAAGAAATGTTGAAATACCCACTCGAGGAAACCAAACTCCAACTATGAAGACAGAACAAACGAAGATGGTTAGTAAAAAGAGAAATACTCATGCTCCTACACAACATACTCAACCTTCTCAACCTGAGGTCACTCCTGCAACACAGTTTTTTGTAAGTTCTATTGAGGTAATGAGAATGTATTATGGGATAAATCATGATGAGTTGGTAGCATTATTGAATGATGAAGACATACTCGACATTGAACCACTTAATGTTGATACTAGTCCTGCAAAACCACACATTCCTTCCAAACAACATGTAAATGTTGATCTAACTAGCTTTGATATTGTTACTGTCAGGACTAAGCCTACTATGTGAACTTCCATTGGTGCAAAACCAAAAGTGCATATGCCTGTTGTCAGAACTTTCATTGGTCCAAGCCCAAAATTATGCAAATCTAATGTCAACCCAATGTTAAGTGATACCAACATGGAAAAAGGCCAAGCATCTACATATAACCCAAGTATGAGTAATCCTGTAAGTTACCAACTTATACCAACTAAAATTGTTTGGTGTTTTATGTTTATTATTTCGGTAAAATTATGTTGTCATAACAGGTGAAAATAATGATATCACCAAGGAAAAAGGCCAAGCATGTTGAACTTTCAAAAAGAAAGAGTGGTAAACTTAGGACTCTGAAAACACGTGACATTGTGGGACCTGGGAGGGATGCGAAGGATCCATTTGTGATTCCCGAGGAAGACACAAGTGTTGGCAGTTCTAGGGGGAAAAAATTGGAATGACATTTGGAAGAGCTTGACTCAGTGAATTTATGTTATGATATATGTTCTTTTTGGAACTTATGTAATATGAAACTTAAGTACTATTTTGATTAGGACATCAAACTTATGTAATATGAACCTTATGTACTATTTTGTTTGGAACATCAATCGTATATACTATGAACCTTATGAACTATTTCTGTTATGAAATTTGTAGTTTGGAACATCAATATTGCCAATTATTGTCATCAATGTTTTGTATTATGAAATAAGTTAAGGAAATTGAAATTATGTGCAGACAAGTTACACCCAATTTATGTTAAATTGTGAAAAATGGTTCTACTTGTAAACATCAGGTCGAGTGGTTAATACTAACAAATATTCTGTTTTTGCATGTGTCGTTCCTAATGCTAGGCTTCTCCATTATTTCCATTGCAGGCAGAGTCCAACTAGTCAAATATTTTGTGCAAAACATGTTGGTTTACACCATGTTCATCTATGCCTGACCTTCTGCTCTGATCAAAGATTTGGAAAAATGAACAGAGAACTTTATTTGGTTATGGGACATAAATCATTATAAGTTGGTTACAATTGCTTAGAAGATAATCTTCAGACCCTTCACTTAGAAGGTTATTGGTATTAGATTTCTTTCTACCCTATATAATGCCACTAATCTTAAGCTTGGCTGGGAATTGGTCAGATCTTTCGGTCACTGGGCTCAGGTTTTGAAAAGAAGGACTATGAGAGGCTATAATTTCACTCATCACCATATATCCCTTTCTATTTGGAGTAGTGTGAAGGCTAAAATTGTTGTGATTCAGAGTAACACTAGCTTCATATTGGGCAATGGCTCATCCATAAATATGTTGTTTGATTGTTGGTGTGCTAACCAACCTATAGAAGAAATGTTTGATGTTTTTTATTTTTGGAAGAACATATTTAGTTTTAAACTTAGTGACCTCTTAGTGAACAATCAATGGATTAATCCTCATGAGATTTGTATCTAAGTCCCCAATTTGAAAGGTATTATTCATTAAGTCACCATCCTTGAGACCCCAAAAAAGGACTTATTATGTTGAAAACATGCGAAAAATGAATACCTTTCCTTTAAGGATGCCTACATCTTCAAATCAAAACATCATGCCAATGATTAATGAATATGGCCTAGGTTTATTTGGAGTAAGGATATTCCACCCTCATATTCTCTTATATCCTAGAGATTGATGCACAACAAATTACCTATTGATGAAAATTTCTCGATTAGGGGTTTCCAGCTTCTATCTATATGCAACATTTGTCTAGATCATCAAGAAACTTCCCTCCACATATTCTTTGAATGTCCTTTTACTGTCAAAATTTGGTTTTGGCTAGTTGAGCTTCTTAGTATGCCACTCCAATTCTACTCAGTGGAGGATATCTGGTTGTTGTGTAAAAAGCGTTGGACTCCCAAAGTCAAGATTATTATATATGCCTGCATAATAAATATCACCAGCATCATTTGGTCCTCTAGAAATTATGCAAGATTCCAAAACAAAGTCATTAATTGGAGGAGTGTCATCAATCAGATATCTAACAATGTGGCTTTGACTTGTAATTCAACTAAGTTTATCTTTAGAAACTCTATGGCTGATTTCATGATTATAAAATTGTTGAAAATTTATATTCATCCTCCTAAGTTATTGAAAAGTATTTTCAGTGGGTTGTTTTATCGTATCTATAGGGATTTTGTTATCAGATATATAGATGCTCTCCGTCCAAAAGTTTAACCTTCTAAGAGAAAGGTTTTCAAAGAGTTGTTATTTTTTAACATAAGTTTTGCAACAAAGAGTAAACTAGAAAATGGAAGTTTTGTTTTAAGAAAAGCATGCCGAGATTAGATCTCGTTAACCTCTTTCATACATATCCGATTAATC